TCCAGCCTAGGGGTGCAGATGGCCCTACAGGATTAGTTTGCCACCAGGTACCCCAAGGCAGGCAAAGGCCACCTGACAAGTTGGTGGCAGATGGCAGGTGGCAGGAAAGGGGCTCCATGAGCACAGAGCTCTCGTGCAGGGTGACGGAGGTGGGGATGGAGGTTCTAGCACTCGGGCCCACGGCTGCTCTTCACCCTTCCTCCCTGAAACCCAGAAGTGGCACACCCCATGGGAGAGTCAGCCCTCCAGGCTGTGGAGGCTACTGGGGCCTAGGCTTAGGGCGCCAGGGCCAGCCCAACACAGAAGCCACCCGCCGCTGCTAGCTTCTGCCCGCTGCCCAGTCTTAAGGTGATGGCCCCTATGAGAATCTTGTCCTATTTGAATATTTTAAAAGGATGGCTCTTCTTCCTGAAAAATGCATAAACATATAGCACTCCATGCACAACTTCACAGAATTCCAAAGCTCTAGTAGGGACTCCATCCTCCACAAGGTGAAGAGGAAAAGTGACCCTGAATTCTAGATCTGGTCATTTTCCCGGGAACCCCTCCTACCCTCCCCACCCTGCGCAGCGCGCCCCGACACCTCACCTTCTTTGTCAGTCAGCACCTCCATGCGCCCGCTGAACATGGCCTTGAGCATGGTGTCGTGCCGGGTCAGGGCCCGCACAGTGGTGTAGTATAGGGAGCCGCCCACATTCAGCTGGACGTACTTGTTGCCCAGCCCTCCTCCCTTGAAACCACTGAGCTTGGGTTTAGCCCCCGAGGCCGGGCACAGGCAGGTGTCCCCTGACATCTCCCGCTGCAGGTAGATCACCACACGGCAGGAGGTAGGCTTGGAAGGCTCCGCCGTGGTGGAAAGGGTCACAAATGAGTGGCCAGTGGAGGCCACAGCCTCATACTCTCCGTGCTGTACATGGGAGATGGGAGAGTATATAAGTCAGCTGAGAGAGCCCTCAGACCAGGAGCAGACAAAAGCAGAAACATGACTGTATCATTCTCTCCTTGACAAGCCCAAGCACCACTTGCTGGCAGAGACTGAGTCCCTGCCATTTTTTTTTTTTTTTTTCCCCTTAGAGACAAGGTCTCACTCTGTCACCCAGGCTGGAGTGCAGTGGTGCCATCTTGGATCACTGCAGCCTCTGCCTCCCAGGCTCAGGTGACCCTCCCACCTCAGCCTCCTGAGTAGCTGGGACCACAGGTGCCCGCCACTATGCCCAGTGAAGTTTTTTTTTTTTTGGTAGAGACATGGTTTTACCATGTTGCCCAGGCTGGTCTTGAACTCTTACGTGCAAGCGATATGCCCACATCAGTGTCCCAAAGTGCTGGGATTATAACTGTGAGTCACTGCATCTGGTCTCCCTGCCATTTTTACTACACCAGGAACTGGGGCTGAGGCAGTCTCCCAGATCCCTGCCCTGGTCACCTCACCAGCCTCCCTGAGACTCAGCTCCACTCAGGGCAGCAAGGAAGACAAGCAAACCCATGGAAGCAGTCAGAGGGCCAGAGGAACAGAACACCGTAGGGATCTTCCAGTCCGATTCCGGTGACCCTCTTGTCAAGGTTTCCAGGATCTCAGACTTTTAGCCAAGCCTACTGGGAATCCGGCCAGCCTAGGAGTTTCCCAGGAGCCAGAGGGACAGGATGCACTTCCTTTCTAAAGATTCTGGCCTCAGGAGCAGTCTGCGCCAGTGTTTATTTTGAGCACCACTGAGAGTCTGGCTTCAGGAAGGAAAGTAAAAGCAGCTTCAGGAGAGAATGGAGTGAGCCAGGGTGGAGGGCGCTGGCCAGCGTTCTTGGCGCAGGTTACCTGGGCTTCAGCTAGGGCTTTCTGACCTTCCCTTTTCTTGGCACCAGCCTTGTCCCAAGTTCCTGAAACTGTCACCATTTTTCAGGGAAGAATATAGATGGCTATTTTTGTCTCTTTTTCCTGAGAGGGAGCTCAGCCCTGCTCTCCTACTTCCCAATAAGAATAGGAGAAGAAAGGACTAGAAAAGATCAGACGATAAATCTAAAAACAATGAGGTACGCTGTGTGCTGCCACATGCCTGTACTCCCCGCTACTCAGTAGGCTGAGGTGGGAGACTGCTTGAGCCCAGGAGTCAAGACCAGCCTGGGCAACATAGCAAGACTCCACCTCTAGAAAAAAAAATTAAAATAAAAATAATAAAGTGATTTGGAAATTAAAACACTAACAGGAGTTCATAGGAGGGAGGAGAAAAGAAAGCAAAACCAGGTACTCCTCGTGATTTAGATTCTGTATGTTTTTGGCTTTCTAAAGCATCATTAAAATTCATTCGTTGGAGAAACAACCTATCTAAAATTCACTGCAACGCTTACTATGTGCCAGGTACCATTCTTGGCCTTTAATATATATTAGCCCATTTAACTCATTCAGCAATTAAATTATTGATTACCCTGCTATGTTAGGCAGTAGGGAACGGTGAAAAGATACTGACTTTACCTTCAAACAGTTCAAAGAAGCATCATAATATTAACAGGAATTTTAAAAAAGAAAGTTAGCATTTATTGTACTCCTACATGCCAGGCACTGGGTACTCAGGAGAGAATAAATATAGAAAGGCATGTCCACATGGAACTTACATTTTAGTGGAAGGAACGAGACTATAAATAAGGACCTGAATAAATAAGTAGATAATTCCAGAAGGTGATGAATGCAATAAAGATAATAAAACAGTGATAAAAGAGTGATTAGGGAGAGGCATTAATTCAGACAGAGGGACAGGAAAAGCATCTTTGGGAAGGTGACATTTCAGCTGCGGTTTGAAGAGAGCATTCTAGACAGGCAGACGAGTAAGTTCAAAGTTCCTGTTAGAAATGTTTTAGGGGCCGGGTGTGGTGGCTCATGCCTGTAATTCCAGCACTCTGCGAGGCCAAAGCAGGTGGACTGCTTGAACCCGGGAGTTAAAGACCGTCTGGACAACATAGTGAGACTTTGTCTCTACAAATAAGAAAACTAGCCAAACATGGTGGCTCGTGCCTGTGGTCCCAGCTGCTGAGGAGGCTGAAGTGGGACAACTGCCTGAGCCTGGGCAGGTCAGCCTGGGTGACATAAGGAAATCTCATCTCAACAACAAAAAGAAACAGGTTTTAGGATCAGAAATAAGGTCATAACAGTTGATGCACAGAAAGTAGGGAAAAGTTGGTTTGGGATCAAGTCAGGGAAGGCTAGATGATTTCAAAGTTTGGATTTTATACTAATCGCAATATAGTATATGAATCAATCGGAGGACTGCCAGCAAGGGAGTGATATGATCTGACTTGCTTGTAGCGTATTTTGAAAAGATAACTTGCTGCTGGGTAGAAAATGAATTGTAAAGGTGCAAGAGAGAAAGTAGGAAGACCAGAGGAAGCAGTAGTCTAGGCAAGAACAGATGATGGCTGCCCGGACCACACTGGTGATAATGAGACAGAAAAAAAGTGGAATGATTTCACCGACTGCTCATCACATGCGGGAGTTTAGAGTCGCTCATCTCTTGTAAGTGCAACCCAGAAGCAGGACATTGGTTTCCCAAGTTTACTGCTGTGTCCCCTAACCGTGCTTAGCACAGTGCCATGCACATTTTAAGTATTTTACATATGTCATTTTGTTAGAATGAAATTGTCCCTGAAAAGATTTAGGTAAGTCCCTGGGGAAAATGTCCAAGGAAGTGGACAGCCAGAGTGGGTGCTGTGTGAAGCAGTTAATTACTTTGGCGGCTTATCTGGGAGACCCTTTCATTTGCCACAGGGATTGGATATGGGAGGTGAGCCCTCACCAGGAGGCTGCCAATGACTAAGAAACACTAGAATGGTATGAGATCACCTTCCCTTTTTACGCCCACCTCAAAGGACTAAATCTACCTCCCTAACAGGTATTAGCAAGTTCCCTGTGTATTCTGCGTCTAGCCCCAGTTTTCCCAGGATCAGAGAAAACACACATACATGTTCTGCCAAAGCAAAGGAGCTCAAAGGATAGGCCTGCCAAGAGAGGTCGACGGATTCAGAGCCAATCTATTCCTTTCCTACAGAGCAATTGCTTTGAGCCCCTGGATGACGTCAATCAGATTCCGCCCAGACCAATGGGTTCCAGGAATCCTGTGGCTGGTGACGCCCCAGAAGGTAATTCCAGTGAGAATGAAGTTTCCACTGATAGCCACAGTGCTCTTCCTTCCGCACTTTGGGAGTGGATATTGGGGATGCCTGGGGCTAGGGGCGGATCCGTGGCTCACTCAGCGAAGCTAATGGAAACCCAAGCAGAACAAAGGGCAAACAGCCGCGGCAGTGGAAAGAGGTGGGGTCTTAAAGGAAGAAGGACCCAGAAATCCGCCAGACACGGAGGACGCCGTGGGGAAAGCTCAGAGCTAGAGTGGGCGGATCTAGCAGAAACCCTAAGTGTAAAGGTTAAGTGTCACCCAAAAAGTCCTGGGAAATGTGGTCGGTGTGGGCTCTTCCCTAGCTCGGGCCACTTCTCACTACCGGGAAACCCACACCGGTTCTCACGCCCACCCTCCGTGAGAGATCGGAGCTCTCCATCTCCCCTACGCCGCCCCACGCCTTTTCCCCACGACCCGACCAGGCTCGCTTTGCTCCAGCAGGGGAAGTCCATCCCTTCCCCGAGGGCATCGACGGGCCCGGCTCTCACCGTCCCCGGGGGCGCCTCTCCTCTCAGCTGGGGGGCCAGTGGACTCCGAGCCGCCCCTAGCCTGCGGCTGCCTGCCCACCAGCAGTCCCGGGCTGTGAGCTCACATCCTGTGCTCGCTGACTCCGCCCGGAATGCGGCCCAGCCCTGCTGGCTATGCAGCCTGAGACTACAAGGCCCAACATTCCTAACGCTCTATCCGGGAAGGGTGGAGGCGGAATCCCCCGAGAGTCTTCGCGGTAAGAGAAGGGCAAAGCCACTTCCGGCGGCCTTGCCGGCGCTATGGTCAGGTCTTGTAGGCCTGACTTCCCCGCAGGCCTCTGTTTCCCAGCAGGCTCCGTGGCATGGGGGCTGTAAGTGCTTCCGGGGTCCGGAAGGTAGTGACGTCGTGGGTAAACGGTTCTGTAGCCGTGGCAGCGGCCCTAACAGGCTGACTGGGTACCGGCTACTGCCGACCCGGGAGAAGTTGCCGTCTACATCAGCCTGGGCTGCAGTGCGCTGCCGCTGCGGGGCCAGCAGGTAGGCTGACCTCGGGTAGGGGGACGCGGGCGGATCAGGGGCGAGAGGAGCCTGACAGGCCTGCGTCCTGAAGAAAGGTAGTCCCGAGCGGAAAGAGACGTGGGAATCCGCCCCACTCTAGCGGGGTGCCTTCTCACCCAGTTTAGGCCTGGAGTTTGATGCGTTGATTCTTGCGACGATCTTATGAGGAAACTGCGGCTCGGATAAGTTCGGGGAGTTTACAGAGTAAAGAGTCGGCTCGCAGGGCCTAGCACGCATCTGGGAGAGCCGGGGCGCAGAGAGTGTACCACCGCATATAGTCAGGGAGCTTAGTCCTAGCTCTTGGGCCACGTGTTGCTCAGATGCTCAGACACGCATGTGGTGGGAGTTGGTAGAGAATCTGCGAACTCTTTCCCTGCACCCCTTCTTCCATCTTACCTATCTCTTTAAGCTAGCCCCTCCATCAGATAGGGGCCAAGCCAGATTCATGAGAGTCAGGCCTGACTCGTTTTTCTCTTATCCTCAAACCCCCACATTCAATCAGTCCCTACTGAGCCCCATCAACTCGACTTACAAAACATCTCAACTCGGAACACTTGTCTTTAGCTGCCAGCCTTGGTTACTGTAATAGTCTCCTATCTGTTTCCACGGTCATTCATTCCACAAATATTTACTGAGTGCCAGTTATGTGTGGGCACATGTTAGGTGCTAGGGTTACAGTGATGAATAAGATAGGTAGGACCTTGCCCTCTCGTTCCCTTCAATGCATTCTCCAGGCTGAGCAAAAGCGATCTTTCTAAATCTGATTGCTGGCTGCCCATTACTGCCTCTTTTAGAGCCTTCTACGGAAGGCTCTTACCTCCCTATGTAGCCTCACCCTGTTCATTCTCTTGCTCAGTTTCAGTTATTGGAATGCATCAAATTTCCTCTTACCTCAGGATCTTCACATATGTGTTTCCTTCTGCCTGCACTGCCTTGCTTCCCCTTTCACTTGACAAACTTTTGAACAGTCTTTAGGTCTCAGTTACATCATTTTTTCAGAAGGCCTCTGTTGGCATTCTCCTCCAACACCGCCCCCCATGAACTGTGTTCTCCTGCTGCACTTCACATTTCCCCACAGCACGGACTCAGTGGGTGTTTCTGAATAAATGCATGCTCTCAGGGAAGGGAGTGGAAGTTGAATCGGATGTTTGCTCCCTCATATTACTTGAATATTTCTGGAGCAGCTGGTCAGATTAATGACCTCGTAGCTGCAAAGATTTTTTTTTTTTTAACCCAGAAATACCCTCTGTGAATATTCTGATCATGACTACTGCTAACAGGACTGTAGCATGTCTGACCTGCAAGCAATGGAGATGCTCAGCCCCCAGTGGGGCACCTTCCCAGGGGACCCGTCAGCCACCTCGTGGCAAGTTGATTACATTAGATCTTCTAATCATGTGCATGGGCAGACATGTGCCATTCTTGGAATAGACTCATATCCTGAGTACAGAATTGCCTCTCCAGCCCTCGATGCTTCTGCCAACACCATCCATGCACTTAGGAATGCCTTATTCACCGTCAAATAATTCCACATGAAACTACTTCTGGTGAAATAATTTGTCCCCAAAATGCTTACTCTGGACCTGGCTCTAAATCTACCTCTGGGCAGAGCCAGTGAGACAGGTCTTTGTAGCCAAAAAGAGCACCCTTTGCTTGTTTGGAGGAGACAGGACAAGCTCCAATTCTGGGTCTAGAAACGACCTGGGACAAAAGGAAATATGTTTGGGAACAATGGATCCCATTACTACCCTAGATATATTTTTATTCTTGAAAACCCAATCTCAGCAAATTCTTTTTTTTTTTCTCCCAGGTCTCCACCTGGCTGGCTCCTTCTCTCCTAAATTTCTGTTCAAATGTTACTTCTTTCGAGAGGCTTTCCCTGATAACCTTCTCTAAACATCATACCCCCTCCAAGTTATTCTCTATTTACTGCCTTTTAATTTTTTTCTTCCTTTTTTATTTTTTTAAAGAAAAAAAGAACATGATTTGTTAACACATTTGTAGATGTCATATCATAACAGGCCTGGGGGTCAAATTACATTACAATGAAATTTCATCAAATGTTAAGGTTTAAAAATAGTCAAAAGCTGCTCTCACATGCTGAAGCTGGAGATTCACATACTTGGTGCTTTGTCGGTTTTAAATTTTGCTTCTAAAAAAGAGAAGCTTTCAGACTGATTTACATGCACTTCTTTGTTGTAGTGTTTATTCTCAGTAAATGAAAATCCACTTTAGTATAATTATCACTTTTTTTTTGAAAGAAAAAAAGAGAAAGAGAAAGGGGGAGAGAGAACAGGAGTCTTGCTCTAGTTCCCAGGCTGGAATGCAATCTAAAGATAGGTATTAAAAACCTCTTTTATGCCGATAATTGTACTTATCAGCGGAGACAGGAAAGAATAAGGGAAGAAAATAACAAACAGCCAACCAATATTTCATTTAAGTCTGGAAATGCTATGCAAATACTGAAGAATGATTTACTTCCAATTATGTGGTCATTTTCAAAATAGGTGTAATGTGATACTGAGAAAAATGTATGTTCTTTGGACCTGGGTGAAGAATTCTATAGATATTCACTGAATGTACTTGTTGCAGGTCTGAAATCAAATCATAAATGTCCCTGTTAATCTTCTATCTCGTTGATCCGTCGAATATTAACAATGTGGTGTCAAAGTCTCCCGCTATTATTGTGCGGGAGTCCAAGTCTCTTTATAAATCATTGAGAACTTGTCTAATGTATCTGGGTGCTCCTATATTGGGTGCATATATATTTATTTTTATATATTTATGTATAAATATTTATATATAATTTATATATTATTTATATATATATTTATGATCATTGACTCCTATTGTTGTATTGATCCTTTTACCATTATAATGTCCTTCTTTGTTTCTTTTAGTCTTTGTTACTATTAAAGTCTATTTTGTCAGAGACGAAAGTTACAACTCCTATTTTTTGTTTTGTTTTGTTTTTTTGCTCTCCATTTGATTGGTAAGTCTTCCACCAAAGCTTTGAGTCTTTTTGTGTCCTTGCTTATGAGATGGATCTGGATGCAGCATACCAATGGGTTTTGACTTTTTATTCAATTTTCCTTTCTGTGTCTTTGATTGTGGCATTTAATCCATTTAAATTTAGAATTAATATTGATATTTGTGAGTTTAATATTGCCGTTTAATGCTCGCTGGCTATTTTGCCCATTAGTTGATATAGATTCTTCATTATGGAGATACTCTTTACCTTTTGGTAAGTTTTTGGGATGACTGATACTGGTTGTTCCTTTCTGTGTAGAGTGCTTCTTTCAGAAGCTCTTGTAAAGCAGACCTGGTGGTGATGAAATCTCTGAGTGCTTGCTTGTTCGTGAAAAATTTTATTTTTCCTTCGTTTATAAAGCTCAGTTTGACTGGATATGAGATCTGAGTTGAAACTTCTTTTCTTTGAGGATATTGAATATTGACCCCCACTCTCTACTAGTTTGTAGGGTTTCTGCTGAGAGATCTGCTGTGAGTCTGATAGGCTTCCCTTTGTGGGTAACCTGACCTTTCTCTCTAGCTGCTTTTTCTCCTTGATTTCAACCCTGGTGAATCTAATGATTAAGTGTCTTGGGGTTGCTCTACCTGAGAAATATTTTTGTGGTGGTCTCTGTATTACCTGGAGTTGAATATTGTCTTTCCTTATTAGGTTAGGAAAGTTTTCCTGAATAATGTCCTGAAGAATATTTTCCAGCTTGGATTCATTCTCTTCATAACATTCAGGTACCCCTATCAAACGTAAATTAGGTCTTTTCACATAGTCCCATATTTCTTGGAGACTTAGCTCATTCCTTTTTACTCTTTCTTCTCTAATCTTGTCTTCTCGTTTCATTTTATTAAGTTGGTCTTCAACCTCTGATATCCTTTCTTCTGCTTGATCAATTTGACTGTTAAAACCTGTGCATACTTTGCGGAGTTCTCGCATCGTATTCTTCAGTTCCATTAATTCATTTATATTCCTCTCTAAATTGTCTATTCTCGTTAGGATTTCGTCAAACCTTTTTTCAAAGTTCTTAGTTTCTTTGCACTGGGTTAGAACATTTTCTTTTAACTCACAGAAGTTTATCATCCACCTCTGAAGCCTAATTCTGTTAATGGAATGCACTTGTTCTCCATCAGGCCTTGTTCTGTTGCTGGTGAGGAATTGTGATTCCCCTGTAGAGGGAGAGGCATTCTGATTTTGGGTATTCTCAGCCTTTTTAGGCTGGTTTCTTCCCATCATTGTAAATTTATCCACCTGTCGTCTTTGTAATTAGCGACTTTCTAATTAGGTCTCTGAGTGGACCTCCAACTGGTTGATTCCCAGCACCAGAATCTGAGCAACCCGCTGTGCTGGCTAAAACAGTGGTGTTAAGATTGATGGTGCTTTTCTGTCCGGGAATCTCTGGTCTAGCTTCCTTCTTGAGTCCCTCCTTCAATCAGCTGAATAGGCGACTCTGCCTTCCCAGAGCTCCAAACATCGACCAAAAGGGGACCCAGTCCTGTTTTCTCTGCACCAAGAACCACTGCACCGGCCACAAGAGTCGCACTGGCGACCCATGGGGCTCCTCCGCTGGGAATCTCCTGGTCTGTGAGCAACAAAAATTCGTCTGAAAGTGTGGCATCCTGTCGTTCTCTGTGCTTTCACTGGGAGCTACAATCCCAAGCTGCTAGTGATCAGCCATCTTGGATCTCTCTCTCGTGATTTTTTTTTTTAAAGACAGGGTCTCTCTCAGTCTGTTGCCCAGGCAAGAGTGCAGTGGTGTGAACACAGCTCACTGCAGCCTCTATCTCCTGGGCTCAAGTGATCCTCCTAGTTCAGCCTCCCAAGTAGCTAGGACTACAGATACATACCACCAGGCCCGGCTATTTAAAAATTTTTTGGTAGAGTTGGTATTTTGCCACATTGCCCAGACTGCTTTCAAATTCCCATGCCCAAGTGATACTCTCACCTTAGCCTCTCAAAGTGCTGGGGTTATAGGCATGAGTACCTCACTGGCCAGAATTTTTTTTTTTTTTTTTTTTTTTGAGACATAGTCTTGCTCTGTCATCCAGGCTGGAGTGCAGTGGTGTGATCTTGGCTCACTGCAACCTCCACCTCCTGGGCTCAAGTGATTCTCCTGCCTCAGCCTCCTTAGTAGCTGGGATTACAGGTACGTGCCACCCCACCCAACTAATTTTTGTATTTTTAGTAGAGATGGGGTTTCACCATGTTAGTCAAGCTGATCTTGAACTCCTGACCTCATGATCTGCCCGACTCGACCTCCCAAAGTGCTAGAATTACAGGTGTGAGACGCCAAGCCCAGCCAGCCAGATCTTTTTTTAAAGCCCTATTATAAGGAAGCTATGGATGATTAAAATGCTTCAAAAGGAAGATGCTAGCTCACTTACATCAGTGGATTCCCTTGAGGCCAAAGACCAGAGTTGTATACAGACAGCCCATAGATATGTTTTAGTTGGTCCACACAGTGTTGGTGGGTTTTCCCCCTTATTTTAAATTTTTGATATACATACCAACATTGAGACATCGGATTTCTGGTCCTCTTGAAAACCAGAAGTTCTGGAAACAGTGAGACTTAATTCTTTTCCAACCATTGCTCCTCCTGTGGCACCTGAACAGCCACCCCCAGAATCACCCCATTCAGAACAGGACTTCTCTAAGGAAGCAAGAAGGGAAACAGGTGAGGCTGGGGACACTGGGGGCAGAGGGGAGGGGCTGGTGCAGGTCCAGGTGATAGTAGCCTTTGGAGCACCTGGGTTTTAGAATTGGCATAGCAGCCAATTGTTAGATGTAACTAGCATTGCCTCCCTTTTTAAACAGGTCATATGCTGTCTATTTTTAATTTTGTGTATGTGTGGAATTTTTTGAGCCAGAATGAGGGTGATTTTTCAGTATTTTCTTTCCAGAATTGAGGCATCCTTTGGATCAGAAATGCAAGGTGGCTTGGAAAGGGAGAAGATATCTTTGTTAGTTCTCTGTTGCCTACAGACAGAAATCCAAACTGCTTAGCTTGGCATACAGTGTCTTCCTGCCCTGGCTGCAGCCCACCTTTGCAGCTCCATCCTTTTTCCTTTCATTCTTAGGCAGGATCGGTCCTTTCAGTGACTTCAGGCCTTTGTCCATGCTGTTTTCTTTTTCGAATACCTATCCCTGGCCTCCTGACTTGATATGTTCTTACTGATACTTCATTCCTTTCTGTGTTTTCTGCTAGAAAGAGAATGACCCAACTTTGATTCCCAATTCAGGCGAGTATACAATATCCTGTAACATATGTTTTGAGTAATATTCTTACTCCTTTGTATTTTTTAGCCATAATTTTTAATTCATGCAGATTTCTTCTTTTATTTGCTTTATGTGTATGTATTTGAGAAGCCTTCTCATGTGCTTCTGGGTACATAACTGGTGATATAAAGTCACTACACTTATGGCTCACAACTTAGTTCAGCTGTCACTCCTTCATGAATGACTCTGTCCTCCTCCAGCCCTTTACTGATGTTTCTAAACAAGCATTTAACACATTATGACTTTTCAGTTTCCATGTCTGTCTTCCCCCAGCTAAACTATGTGTTCTTCCAGGGCAGGGACCGCATTGCATTCATCTTTGTACCCCCAGCATCTAGTAGTGTTGGCATGTAGTAGGCACTCAAGAAATGTGTGTGGAATGAACGATGACTGTGACAAGCAAGCAGACTTTATTCTTTCCTGACCCTTGCTCCTATGACACACCTCCTCCTGACTGCTGCCGTCACTCCTTCAGAGCAGAACTCCTCTAGGTGAGGCTCAGTGATGTGGTGGCAGAGGGAACAGGGAGCCTTTGGAACATCTGGGTTTTTGGCATTGGTGTCCAATGGTAGAAGTGGGGCTGGCTTGGCAGCAGGAATTTCCGTGGGTGTCTGGGGAGTGATTAGGTACTGGGCCGGTTTCTTTGCAGCTATGGCCAAGGACATCCTGGGTGAAGCAGGGCTGCACTTCGATGAACTGAACAAGCTGCGGGTGTTGGACCCAGAGGTTACCCAGCAGACCATAGAGCTGAAGGAAGAGTGCAAAGACTTTGTGGACAGTGAGTATCATTTGGGGAGATACCGTGCCACTCGGCTTTGAGCTGGCATTCCAGCTGTACCCCATGCTTATCCCTGACTGCAGCTCTTGGCCCTCCTACGATGGAGCTGCTGTCTCTTGAGTTCCCACATGCCACCCTTCTCTACTTGCCTCTTATGCTCTCATGTGGTCCCCAGCAGAGCACCAGTCAAACCAAACACTGGGATGGGGAGGGGAGGGTGCTTTTAGATATGCCATCTTTCACTTCTTGCTCTTAGAAACCTTAAATTTCATGGGGACACAACCATGGCTTGGGGTGGAAAACAGAATTATGTACTCATTTGATTTCTTCAGAGTTTTCTCAGTGGCAGATTCTCTGTTATTTGGAGTTAAAAGTGGTAAGTGAAGTTTCTAGAAGCAGTTCAACAAACTGACATAATCTTTTGGCTACAGATATTCAGGAGGCCTCTTGTCCCAGCAGCCAAGCCAGCCCGATGTCAGTACAGAGCCAGATCTAGCTAGAGCAAGGGATTTCTGAACATTTTGGGGGCTTCCTAGGTTGTGGAAAGAGCGTGACTAGTGAAAGGTAGCTCGGTTTCTGTCACTAACCTTCTATGGCAGCAGGAATTTCCATGTTTCTAAACAAGCATTTAACACATTATGCCGTGCACACACTTTTCTAGGCCGTAGTTTTCCCTCAGTAAATTGTGTTTGTCACATGCGGGACATTGGAAAAAATGAATGGGAGATTAGGCACGTAAATGCTGTGAGTTCTTTATTTACTGTGGTTACAAGTGGGAAGCCCCATCCCCATCATTAATTGAAATCTGGTGTCCTACCTGAAGCTAGTTCAGAGGCAGTGCTTGTGTCCTAAGGCTGCCATTTTGTGAACAACAGTGCTTCCTGTCACTCCTGGGGAAGCAGAGTTGGGGTCTGTCTGGAGGATGAGCCTAAGAAGGGCATAGAGCTTTCAAAGCCTGAGGTTACAGCAGCTGGCTCAGTGGGGACGCAAGGTCGGGGTATGCCGTGGTCCAGCTGGCCACCCCTTTCTAGGTTCAGACCAAGGGTGGGAGACATAGGCCAACAGGCACCAAGGTGTTTAAGTGACAGAGTTGCACTATGTTGCCCAGGCTGGAACGCAGTGGCAGTTTACAGGCATGATCAAAGCGTACATCCTGAAACTCGTGGGTTCAAGTAATACTCCCACCTCAGCCTCCCGAGTAGCTGGGACTACAGATGCTCACCACCATGCCTGGCTTAACACTGAACTATTTTGACACAAATGAGAAGGGGCAGTCAGTTCTGCCCTCACTGCCTCAGCACTCTGCTGAGGAAGAGTAATGATACTTAAATATTTTATTTTTTGTTCTTTTCCTAAAAGAAATTGGCCAGTTTCAGAAAATAGTTGGTGGTTTAATTGAGCTTATTGATCAACTTGCAAAAGAAGCAGAAAATGAAAAGATGAAGGTAAGATCAGCATGTCTTCTGCCTACATCTTGGCCTGGGAACCTAGTTCACTGGCCTCTCATCCTTCTTCCCTCTTGATTTTAGAGGGGTGGGTGGGTTATTTAATTAAGCTTTTAATAACTTCTGGTCCATTTAACCTACTGAACTTATGATTTCCTTTTTAAAGACAGTGTCTCACTCTGTCACTAGGCTGGAGTGCAGTGGCGCAATCTCGGCTCACTGCAACCTCTGCCTCTTGGGTTCAAGCAATTCTCCCACCTCAGCCTCCCGAGTAGCTGGGACAAGTGTGCGCCACCACACCCAGCTAATTTTTTTGTATTTTTAGTAGAGATGGAGTTTCACCTTGTTGGCCAGGTTGGTCTTGCTCCTGACCTCAAGTGATCTGCCCACCTTGGCCTCCCAAAGTGCTGGGATGACAGGCGTGAGCCACCACACCTGGCCTCCTTTAATCTTTCTATCAGCACTGATATAGATGGTTTTATCCTCATTTTATAAATGAAGAGATGAAGGCTTACAGTATGACTGGTGAAAGGCACAAGGCTGAATGGCACCACCGAATGTGCCATTGTGCCTGGCTCTAGGAATACTCCTAGACTCACCTCAAAGCTGCTGTCAAGTTCTTGAGGCACTTTGTGATCAGTAGGCTAATCCTTCTGTTTTAACCCAAAAGCTTTGGGGCTCTGCTTTCTTTTCCTCTCTGGAGACTGACATAGCTCCCAGATGACCCCTCCCCACTTTGAGGACTTCATGCTGTAGACGGGTTTTAACGAAGCCATGGCCTTCTCTGGCAATACTGTAGGCCATCGGTGCTCGGAACTTGCTCAAATCTATAGCAAAGCAGAGAGAAGCTCAGCAGCAGCAACTTCAAGCACTAATAGCAGAAAAGAAAATGCAGCTAGAAAGGTAAGAAGCATTGATGTAAAGCAAGTTCTTTACACAGCTGAATTTCTACTCTTCCTCCTGCATTCACTTCTTGTCCTTATTCATCGTTTTCTCAGGAATAGCATCTCACTTTCATCCTGATTTGAAGATTTTTAAAAATAAAATTACATTTGATGAGAAGGAAATACAAAACTTGTTAATATCAAACCACCTCTAGTAGCTTGAGCATGAAAGGGTCCATGAAGTTGGCTGGCTCTCTGAAAGAAGACTTTCCTAGGGCTAGAGATTTCTCATGGGTGGCTCTGGGTAGGGCTTTGCCTCTATCTTTCTTCATTCTGAACTCACACCATTTCCTGAAATCATTTAAACCTCTACTTCTCTAGAAGAATTAAGTCTGTGATTTACTTCATCCTTTTTTCAGGGCCTCTAACAATTTTGTTTTTCAGGTATCGGGTTGAATATGAAGGTTTATGTAAAGTAGAAGCAGAACAAAATGAATTTATTGACCAATTTATTTTTCAGAAATGAACTGAAAATTTCACTTTTATAGCAGGAAGGCAAAACAAAAAAAGCTCCTCAAAACCAAAAAAACCTCTGTACCATTCCAGCGGCTTCACCAGTGACCTATGTCACAAGAGGTGGCGTGTAAGGAAGGCAGCCCCCTGCGTCTGGGGGAGCCCGTTTTTAAACATCAGCACACAGCTGCTGCTGGTGACCATGCAGTGCATGTTCTCACCTCTTATGCTCCTAGTTGGAACTAAACAGTTTGTAAACTTTGGTCCTTTTTTTTTTGTCAATTTACAAAGCTTTGGAAGGAGAAGCAATACATTTGTTTTCAAATGGCTTGATGTACCTTTTTTCCTGTTGCCCTTGAAATATGTTTAACCCATTGTGATAGATTCCCTATCCCCCGGTCCAGAAAACAAACCAGGCAGTGTTCAGCAGCTACATTTGGATCAGACACGCGAGTCAAGACAATACCACTAATCAGACCAATATGGCTTTTGAGCAAAGTGGGTGAAAATTGAGGGAACTGACTGGGACCTGCTGTGTAACATCATTTTAAGGTTGGACTTGAGCACAGATTTAGAGAAAGCTGATGGAATGCCAAGCACCAACGTGAGGAGACCCTATATGCACACAATGACTATGTTGTGCCTGGCTGCAGCCACCTTCCCTTCTGAGAACAAGATGGGAATGACTGAACTATATTAGAAGGATGAAGTTATCCACTAGGGAGCACACTTCCAGATCAGGCTTGAGATGCTAGACTTCAGATAAAGGGACTTGTGTCAGGTGGCCTCCAGAAACGTGGAAAACTAAGGTTTAGAAATAAAGTAACTTAAAGACGTCTGGGTGCAGTGGCTCACACCTGTAATCTCAACACTTTGGGAGGCCAAGGTGGGTGGACCATGAAGTCAAGAGATAGAGACAATCCTGGCCAACATAGTAAAACCCCATCTCTACTAAAAATACAAAAATTAGCTCGGCGTGGTGGCATGTGCTTGTGGTCCCCAGCTACTCAGGAGGCTGAGGCAGGAGAATCACCTGAATCCAGGAGGCAGAGATTACAGTGAGCTGAGATCATGCCACAGATGCCCAGAGCAAGACTGTCTCAAAAACAAAACAACAAAAAAACCTCCTAGGATCTGTTTACAACAGAAACAAAAACATTTTTTTTTTTGAGACAGAGTTTCGCTCTTGTTACCCAAGGTGGAGTGCAATGGCGCGATCTTGGCTCACCGCAACCTCCGCCTCCTGGGTTCAGGCAATTCTCCTGCCTCAGCCTCCCAAGTAGCTGGGATTACAGGCACGCGCCACCATGCCCAGCTAATTTTTTGTATTTTTAGTAGAGACAGGGTTTCACCTTGACGACCAGGATGGTCTTGATCTCTCGACCCCGTGATCCACCCGCCTCGGCCTCCCAAAGTGCTGGGATTACAGACGTGAGCCACCGCGCCCGGCCAACATTTTACAATCTAACCCATTTCTGACTGAAAGTCATTGTAGGGCTAAACCTTAAGAAAACTAAACTTCCTTTGCATAGTATTTTCTTTTTTCCTTGGGTTAGAGGTGGGGACAAGAAAACATGACATAGTTTTGAATTAATATTACAAAGACAAAATTTCCCATTTTAAAATGGCCCCAAACATTGCACTGTTCATGTTGCTGATAGGTTGATATACTCTAGGGAATCAGGAGTGGAGGGTTTAGTCATAAGCAGCATATATCCTGTGGGTCAGGTGACTCATGAAAATGTCAAGCAGGCCATGTTCTTTAGCAATTTCTGGTCTGGTCCTGCTTTAATAATCTTGCAGCGGAACTTAGGCATATAGTCAGGTATTCAGTACCACTTCCCTATAACCCAGCCTACATCCCTTTCCCCACTTTAAGCCAATCAGTCTGTTCATCCCAGTTCCCTCAGAAGGTGAAAGTTTGGGCTGGGCCCAGTGGCTCACATTTAAAATCTCAGCACTTAAGGGGACTGAGGTGGTCACATCTGTAATCCTAGCACTTACGGAGACTGAGGTGGTCACATCTGTAATCCTAGCACTTATGGAGACTGAGGTGGTCACATCTGTAATCCCAGCACTTAGAGAGACTGAGGTGGGCAGATGACTTGAGCCTACTAGGTTCAAGAACAACCTGGGCAACATGGCAAAACCCCGTCTCCTCAAAAAAAAAAAAAAAAAAAAGCCATGCATGGTGCTACACACCCATAGTTCCAGCTACTCGGGAGGCTTAAGGAGGATCACTTGAGCCCAGGAGGCAGAGGCTGCAGTGAGCTGAGATCATGCCACTGCCCCTCACTCCAGCCTGGGCAACAGAGTGAGACTGTCTTTAAATAAAAAAAAAAAAAAAAGGGTTTGACATGGTTCCTGATACCATCTTGCTCTTGTGTGTTGTTGCCAGTGTTTCAAATACTGCTGAAGACGTGGATTCTGAGCAGTGTTCCTTGTATCCAACAAACAACCGCCCTGTAGGCATCTCTACCCTGGGCCAATGGTTGTTTCCGTCATTTTTTTTTTCTTTTCTCTTCATACTTGTAGTAGGGACTCCGGAGCATGAAAATTAAAAGAACAAATGGGATGAGTAAGTAGGGGGCATAGACAGATACAAGGGTTAACCGTTCATGCAAAGTCTCAGGTCCTTGTCCTTTAAAACCACTGGCTTTGGAGAAATCCTCAAACAGAAATGTGGAGAGTATTGGAATTAAAGTTGTCATGGTGTGAACTGAGTAGATGATCGCAGGGGTTCGAATCCACTTGCAGCTTCCTGAGGTAGTCAGGGGAAAGAAAAATGATTAGGTCTGTTGATGACTCCAAGGCATCCATGACCTTCCCGCTGTCTCTGCCTGCTCTCTTCTACTACCTTCTCCAAGTGGGAACTTCTAACTGGAAAATTGGATGTGCCACACTGCGCAACATGTAGGCTTAATGTGACAGCTCACTCACAGCTCGCCAAAGAACCAAGAAGGGGGCCAGAACATAACTCAGAAAAACTCCAGGGCAATAAAAGTGCCATAACTTGTGAAATCTGTGTGGTATAAAATGCAAGGGAAGGGAAATCCCTGCCCCATGGCATCTGTTTGTTCAGTAATTATATAGGTGGGAGGATCAGGAGGCAGATTCGGTGACCCCAGAGGATGCCAGTGGGAAATGAGCATTTTCAGCTGTTCTAGCTTCTTTATCAAGTACATGTGTATGGTCACCTTCTTTAAAAAGTATTGATTATGAGAACACTGTAAGAATTTTAAAATGAGAAAAGCACGTTAGGGATTAGCCTGATGCTACAGCTTATAAGTCAGTGTGATACTATTCAATGCAGAGAAATAAGCCAACAAAAAGGGAAATTAATTGTGTCGGGGATGACCTCAGGTTTCATGCGTATTCGAGAGATTTCCAGACAAGTGAGGCAGCCATGCAGCCCCGCTGACCACAGACATGAGCCTGAGCCACAGCCACACTAACGTCCCTTTACAAGATCTACCCTGGCTATTTCCCCAGATCCTATGGCATCCTCCCACAATCTATGGGGGCCATCCCCTCCCCTTTGGAGATACTTTCCCAAAAGATTTCTGGGACCTGATTCCTGAGTAAAAATCGCATTTTCCCACCATTTACCAACCTTTGAGAAAGGCATATGTTGCGATGGGAAAGAAAGGCAGTTGAAACACAAGCTCACAGAAGAGAAAGGACTTAAACCACGCTGGGGGCTCCTGTAGCAGCGGGTCTTTGAACTCCTTAGCATACCACTTCAGCAGGTTTCTAAACTGAAAAAGGAAACAATCATGATGAATTACAGCCTCCTGGCCTCAACAGGCTTGGCTCTAAATCATCTGAAAATACACTCGAGGAGCCTGTCATTAATCAGCCCTGCTCCCACCCCGGCAGCAGATGGCATGTCCAGCTGGCTTTTATGACACAGCCTAGATGGTCATTCAATAAAAACTGACTATCCCTAACTCAAATGTTCCCTTCTCTCAACTTGCAGCCCCTTCTTTCTGCTACCCAGCATTTGTTCATAATTTCAAGATAACACATATCCAAGTGTGTTGGCCACTGTCAGGAGCAATAATAAATACCTGGCACTTAGTAGGCACTCAGGGTGTTCGCTGAATGAACAAATGTGACATTTCTGCCAACAATATCATTCTTTTTTTTTTTTATTTAAAAAAAAAGACTAGCCAGTTAATATCAAATGGCAGCAACCCTAAATTTAAATCGACCAAATCTCCCAATCAAAAGATACAGACAAAATCTAACGGTATATCCAAAGATATACATAGACTCAAAATAAAGGGTTGGAAAAAAAAAACGTACCAACCAAATGGAGAGCAAAAATAAATAAATAAAAAGCAGGAGTTGCAATTTTCACATTTGACAAAATAGATTTCAAAGCTAAAAGGATACAAGGGTAAAAGGATTAATGGAATAATAAGAGATCTTAACACCCAGATACATAAGACCCATAATGAGATTTAGATTCGAGACAGAAAATTGATAACGATATCCGGGACTGGAACTAAGATCCAGAACAAATAAACTCAATAGAGCTCTCCATTTTAAACACACAAAATATACATTATCCACAAAATCTAACGATATATCTAAAGATATACAAAGACTCAAGGGGATGGAAAAAGCTCACCAACCAAATGGAGAGCAAAAATAAATAAATAAAAAGCAGGAATTGCAAGTCTCACACTTAATAGATTTCAAAGCTACAAGGATGCAAGGGTAAAAGGAGTAATGTAACAATAAGAGATCTTAACACCCAGATACATAAGACACATAATGAGATTTAGATTCAACGAGACAACAAATTGATAACGATATCCAGGACTTGAACTCAGAGCCAGAACAAATAAACACAATAGAGGTCTCCATTTTAAACACATAAAATATGCATTAACCACTTTAAACACTTAAATATTGATTGGCCATTATTGAAACCCATTTTAGGAATGAAGTAATATTCCTTTTTCCCTCTTTTTTTTTCCCCTTCTTTTTCTCTTAAAAAAAAAAAAAAAAAAGACAAATGTGAAAACCATCCTGACACTTTCCCTTTTGCAATGGCAACTATACACTAAACTCCAAAGGCCAGATTCCCTCAAATGCAGAAATGAATTTCTCTCTTCTTTTTTGGGGGTGGAGGTGGGAGTGAAAGGGAAAGTAAATCTAACCTCTGTGGAGATGTAATTTTGGACATTTTAACTCCAGTACGGCATATGGCAAATAAGCTCCTTGTTATTTTTTTACTTGAGATAGTCGCTCTGTTGGCCAGGCTGGAGTGCAGTGGCGCCATCTCAGCTCACCACAACCTCCACCTCCCAGGTTCAAGCAACTCTTCTGCCCAGCCTCCTGTGTAGCTGGGATTATAAGTGCATGCTACCACACCCAACTAACTTTTGTGTTTTTAGTAGAGACAGGGTTTAACCATATTGGCCAGGCTGATCTTGAACTCCTGACCTTGTGATTCGCCCACCTTGGCCTCCCAAAGTGCTGGGATTACAGGTGTGAGCCACCACGCCCAGCCAAAAAAACCCCTATTATAATTCTTAGCTCCCCTAATTCTAATTTTTGGTTTGTTTTAGGAGACAGTAGGATTTTAGTGGAAGAATAAACTCTGCCCCAAAACATAAACTACCTAGAAGATTCTTGGCTATGCAGGGCTTTAGCATGTTAGTTCTAGCTTGGGCCTCACCCTTGTAATTACCCTGTCAAATAAAAAGAACGAGGATCCATGCTGACCTGGCCACAGACAGAGAAAAGATGCAGAGTTTAAGGCTGCCCATTTTGCGCTTTTATGGGAGTCCAAAGCCTAGTGCTGCTCTTGGCTTACGTGGACTACTTAACACCTGTCACATTTAACCTCCTAGACATGGCCTTGTCCTGACACACAGGCCTTAAAAGACAAATAAGTCTTGATACTATGATTAATAGAGGCAACTCCAGGGTAAGAATTTATCTTACAATGGAAAATCCAAGGATATTTTTCCTGTTAATTTTTATCAAAAGATAAAGGCTCACTATTGTGAAATAAATGGCCCACTGTTGCAAGAGTGCCTTAAGCAAACATCCAGAAACAAAACATCCTGTTGGCGAAATTTTCAGAAAGGCTCTGGCTAGATAACCAATCTATTGACTCAAGGATCTCCAATTTGTACTTAATTTAAATTCATAGCAATACCCTTTGCTTCCTTCTAAGCACTTTTCGGATAGTTTGAATGAGATTGAATTTGACAGGAAACACAAAGGCTAAGTCACTGTTCTCTTCCAGGGCTCTATTTCTTCATCTATAAAGTGAGCAACTTGGACTAGATTTTTTTTAAGATCATTTTTCGCTTTTTAGATTTTTAAATACTGGAGGAAACTACCTGCTTTAGAAGATTGTAAAATTATTATTATTTTTTGAGATAGTCTCTGGTGCCCAGGCTGGTGGAGTGTGGTTCACTGCAGCCTCAACATCCCGGGCTCCAGTGATTCTCCCACCTCAGCTTCCCCAGTAGCTGGGACTACAGGTATGCACTATTAAGCCCAGCTAATTTGTTGTAGAGACAGGGTTTTGCCACATTGCCCAGGCTGGTTTCAAACTCCTGGGCTCAAGCGATCCTCTTGCTTCAGCCTCCCAAAGTGCTGGTATTACAGCTGTGAGCCACTGTACCCAGCCTGGCTGCAAAATTTAAGAGGCATTCTGGGCCAGGCCCAGGCATGATGCCTATAATTCCAGCACTTTGGGAGGTCAAGGCAGGCAGATCACCCCAGGTCAGGAGTTCCAGACCAGCCTGGACAAAATGGCAAAACCGCGTCTCTACAGAAATACAAAAATTAGCTGGGAGTGGTGGTTCACGCCTGTAATCCCAGCTACTCGGGAGGCTGAGACAGGGGAACCGCTTGAACCCAGGAGGTGGAGGTTACAGGAAGCCAAGACTGCGCCACTGTACTCCAGCCTGAGTGACAGAGCAAGACTGCATCTTTTTTTTTTTTTTTTTAAAAAAAGGGCATTCTGAGCTGGGCGCGGTGGCTCAAGCCTGTAATCCCAGCACTTTGGGAGGCCGAGGCGGGTGGATCACGAGGTCAAGAGATCGAGACCATCCTGGTCAACATGGTGAAACCCCGTCTCTACTAAAAATACAAAAAATTAGCTGGGCACGGTGGCGCGTGCCTGTAATCCCAGCTACTCAGGAGGCTGAGGCAGGAGAATTGCCTGAACCCAGGAGACGGAGGTTGCAGTGAGCCGAGATCGTGCCATTGCACTCTAGCCTGGGTAACGAGACCGAAACTCCGCCTCAAAAAAAAAAAAAGTCATTCTGGCCATTTGAACTTCACTTTCTATTCAATTTGTATTCAGCCTCTCTGATCCACCTATTTTGTAAATTGAGGCAGACTTGTACAGCACTTTTAAGTTCTAAGGCCTACAAGATAAGATCAGCAAAATTTAAAAAACAATCTTAGCCAGATATCCTAATCAATTAGGACCCAACCATCTGCCCACAGTCATATACCAGCCACCTGACACCAGAATGAGGCCAGCACTAATTGTGAGTAAAAGAGTAGAAAGCCCAGGCACCTGGCAGCCTGGTGAGACGTGTGGGACCTGAGGCAGAGTGCCTGGCTTTAGGCAAGGCCTTTAATCTCCCTACACATGTGTCCCCATCTACAAAATAGAGCCAGTAATAGTGCCTATTTCACTATTGGTAAGATAGAGACTTAATACATGTAGTCTTTAAAATATTGACTAGCAACATAATGATTACTTAATTGAATGTAATTAATACATATCTGGAGATATTCAACTTTAATCCCATTAAACTCACAGCTCACAACTGGCATTAAAAATTATTAGTTATGGCCTCTCCACTAAAGGTAATGAAACTGTCTCCATTTACACCTGACTCACATTTGACTCAACTCACCCTCGTTATCCATGAAAAGATTCACCTGGCCTGCACATAGGCACCTCTAAACCAGGGTTTCCTACTCACCAATCTTGTACTTCTGTAATTTAGAATGAGAACACAGACTGATTTCAGAGCCAAATGCTCACTTGTTTTTCCTTATTTTTACCAGATGCAATGTCATCCAGCTGCAAATGATACTACAAAATGCTCCCCACCCTCTCTTTCCAATGTTCTTATCCAAATTTAATTCTTACTGTTTCATAGTAACTTTTTCCAGGCCATGCACAGTGGCTCAACAACTGTAATCCCAGCACTTTCGGAGGTCAAGGCGGGCAGACTGCTTGAGGTCAGGAGTTTGAGACCAGCCTGGCCAGCATGGTCAAACGCCATCTCTAAAAAAAAAAAATAGAAAAATTAGCCGGGCATGGTGGCACATGCCTGTAATCCCAGCTATTCCGGAGGCTGAGGCAAGAGAATCCCTTGAACCCGAAAGGTGGAGGTTACAGTAAGCGGAGACTGCTCCACTGCACTCCAGCCTGGGCAACAGAGCGAGACTATCTCAAAAAAAAAAAAAAAAAGTAAATTGAAAAGATAAGTTTTTCCAAGCAGTCATTTGGTTCAATCCAAGAAAAAAAATTTAATTTGCAAATTTCAGCCCAACCACTAGGGGATCTCCTACGGGCTTTTTAGCTCTAGGGAAAAATTACTTCAATTTAAGGAGGAAAATGACAGATTATACATTTTGGCATTTTTCAAAGAGAAACAGAATTAACTCAGAGCTTTTATTATCATTTGCCCCATCAGAAGCAAAAAAAATCAGCATTTCCTACACCAAAGCAACAAGAATGGAGACACAGACCTTCCATGCCAGGATGCCCCCATGCTAATGCCTTCAAACATCACACACACACACACCCACCCCCCCACCCCCCCATACCCCAGGATGCCCCTGTGCTGATGCCTAACATCACACACACACACACACACACACACACACGTGCGCGCATACGCATGCACATTCTGGCCAGATACTGCCTGCACTGGCCCTTGGGCCTTTTGCAGTAAGTCAGCACTAAAAAAATAAAGCTGATGCTGGACATGATGGCTCATGCCTGAAAGCTCAGCACTTTGGGAGGCCGAACCAGGAGGATGGCTTGAGCCAAGAAGACCAGCCTGGGTAACATAGTAAGATACCATGTCTACAAAAAATACAAAATTAGCCAGGTGTGGTGGTGTGCACCTATAGTCCTAGCTACTCAGGAGACAGGTGGGAGGATCTCTTGTGCTCAGGAATTCAAGGCTGTGGTAAGCCATGACTGCACCATAGCACTCCAAGCCTGGGTGACAAAGGACCTGTTTATAAGAAAAAGACTGAGAAAATTTTATCAAATGTAAGCATTTTAATGTTTAATTGGGGATCTTTATGATATGATGCTGGGCACCTTTTAAATGTATTTTGTTATGGGTGAGCAAGACAGGCTTGTGGGCATGGTACATCCACGAAGCATATAGAAACCAACAGCTGTGAAGTCTGGAATGGTTACGTGGAGTAGCAGGCTAACTACCAAGTATTAAAAGGTCCCGGCCAGGTGCGGTGGCTCACACCTGTAGTCCCAGCACCTTGGGAAGGCAAGGCAAGTGGATCACAAGGTCAGGACTTCGAGATCAGCCTGGCCAACATGGTGAAACCCCATCTCTACTAAAAATACAAAAACTAGTTGGGTGTGGTGGCTCACACCTGTAATCCCAGCTACTTGAGAGGCTGAGGAACCCGGGAGGTGGAGGTTGCAGTGAGCCGAGATCGAGCCACTGCACTCCAGCCTGGGTGACAGAGTGAGACTCCACCTCAAAACAAATAGGTCCCATAACACCAGATAAACAGGCAGCCTGCCTGAGTATTGCTGGCCACACAAGTTTCAAAAACCACAGATAGGGCAACACTGTAGTAGATTTTCCTTTCTTCTGGGCAAGTAATGGTTACTGCAGAGCTCTCATGACCTCTTTGGTCTTTGGGAAGAGTCTGTACTATCTGGCCCTGTAGTAGGCTGAATAATGGCCACCAAAGATAACCACATCCTAATCCCTGGAACTTGTGACTGTCGCTTTATTTGGCAAAAGGGACTTTGCAGATGTAATTAAAGACCTTGAGATGGGGAGATTTTCTGGGTTATCTGTTGGACGCTGAATGTATGACAAAAGTCCTCATAAAAGTGAAGCAGAGGGAGCTCTGTTACTACAGAAAGGGTGGCAATGGGGTGACCCAAAGCAGAGACTGAAGTGATGTGACTACAACTCAAGGAACATCGGCAGCCACCAGAAAACGGAGGAGGCGAGGGCCAGACTCTTGCCAGGAGCCCTCGGAAGAAATGAGCCCTGCCGACATCTTGATTTTAGCACTGTAAGATTTCACTGTGAAGGTCTGGCCTCCAGAACTGTATAACAAATAAATCTGTGTCAAGTCACTACATTTGTGGTAACTACAGCAATAATAGGAAACTAACTCACCCTGTATATGTTTGAGCTTATGATTTAACTCAACTCCCTCTGCCAGTCGAGGGTACAGAGCCCTGACCTGCCTACCAACCGGTTCTTGGAAGAACCAAGTCCCCAGACTGCACCTTGCCACACACTGCCTACACTTTTCCCATGGAAAAGGAGGCCAGAAGTCTTCCAGTTGCGTTTGGTTCTAGAAGCAAACAAAAATCAGTGACTTACAGGAGCGGTGGAACATTCTTGAGCTGTGGCATTTAACCTTTTTGAGAGAGTTAGGCCCCTTGAAAAGTCGATGGAGGCTATATTCTCCTTCCAGGAAACAAAAGGTACACACATTTTGCACCCATTTTTGGGAGTTCATGAACCTCAGGTAAAGAATCCCTCCTCAGCAGAGAAAAAGCATTTAAGGAGAAACCCCAGAGGAAAAATGAAATCTTCAGGTAGACAAGTCAGTCCTGTCTACAGCTCTACAGATAAGTTGGAGAAACAGAACTGAGGACAGAAATTCCATGGAAGAAGGTCACAGGGTCCAGATAAGAGGAAAGAAACCAACAAACCAAGAAACTAAAACTGTAGCTTTGAAGAAAAAACAAAGCATTAAAGCAGAGTTTGGGGTAAAGAAGGCTCTCCAACAACCAGGAAATAGGAATTTTCACCTTTATTTCTACTCAGGTGATCACTGTAACTCGAACTCAACATTGAAGGGCCAATCAGAAAAGCTGCCAATTTACTCCTGAGCTTTGGAAGTTGCTGGAACGTAACCTTAAAGCAGTGACGATCTGTGAACGCCCCAGTGGCACCAACCAACGTGCTAACCCTTCAGACGGGTCTGTTTCTACTCGGATTATTTTTTGGATCAGATTGGGATTTTAAAGCCCTTCCAAAAATAACAACTTTCAAACAAACCTAACACGTGGCTTTAGACACCAGTTCAACCAGGCTACTTCCCTCAGACACCGACAACTGTCCAGAGGTGGAACCGCGGGAACCTTAAACCCAGGGAGTGTCTTTAAAGGAAGCAAAGCGTTCGCCCCTGCCGCTTGGGAGAAGGGTCTGGGACGGAGACAAAGCCCGAGGAAGACAACGAGCTGAAGTTGGATAAGGAGCCGGAGGAGCATGGGCAGGACTCGAGGGAGGCGGCAGAACTGGAACCCGGTTGTGCCAGCGCGGAGGGGATGAAGGCCCCGTGGACGCAGCGCGCGGGAGAGCCTTGGCGGGTCGGGATAAGACAGGCGCCTCTCACCTCGACCGGGTAGAGCTCGCGCGGCAGCACCGCCTGCAGGTCCATGAACAGGGTCATGGGGATGTGAGTGAGGAAATAGAGGCCCAACAGCCATTCCATGCAGCGCCTGGTTGCCGGAACCCCCATCTTCTGTCGGTTGGGCCTGGACTCGCCGTTATGAGAAGAGGGTTCCAGCACCGCGCGCCTTCCTGGATGACGCGCTAAGACCGCCACCCCGCCCCCTCGAAGGCCACGCAGGCCGCTCACATTGGCTGGAGAGGAGAGGAGGCTCGTGGACAGGGGGCGGCATTCCCTGAAGGGCTCACCCATTGGTCCGTATGAGTATGGCGCGTGGAGAAGGCGGCTCGAAAGCTGTTTCCATTGGCGGCTGGGAGCGCCGCGTGAGCGGGGATTAGTCACGTCGTTTGGCGCTAGGCTATCCTTTGCAGATCCCGATTCACGGATACGTGCGTGGGCTCGGCTTCTCCGTCCCCGCCGCGGTATCCTGGGCTCCGGGCGCTGCTGGCGGTGCTCTTTTTCCTCGTGCCTCCGTTTGCTCGTTCCGTTCGTGTATTAGAGACCAGCGCCTGTCTTGGGCCGCGGTGCCCCCGTGCAGTGCGGGCGTCACGGAGCGAGGGTTACAGAGCGGGATTCGAGCGCCGCGGCGTTGCGAATCTGGGGAGGCAGCCAGTCACGGTGAACGAAGAAGCGGAGGGGAGGACTCGAGGGACGTAGGAGGCAGTAAAATGGACAGGACTCCTCACCGGCTGTAGAGCATGAGGGAGGGTCAAGGATTCGTTTACTTGTTAAGTAAGTATTTATGTTCATTCAGCTCCACGCTGGGCGCAGGTCTGGCTCGGAGCAGGATCCCCTCTTAAGAGGGGACACAGGGCAAGGGAGTGCGAGGAAGGAATGCGGTTTAGACCACGTGGACCTTGAGTGGGCTGCAGCGTTGGCTGGAGGAGGCAGTTGGGCGAGCCCGTCTGGAGACGTAGGCTTGTGAGGCATCAGCCTTTGATGGCTAGCAGAGGGCCTGGGAGAGATCGGGTAATGGGGAGGAGAGGACTGAGATAGGAGCGGACTAGCAGGAGAGCGATGTCACAGGGAGGGGCAGCCGTGTCAACACTGAGTGGTGCCCACCGGTGGCCCTGTGGGGAACAGTTGTCGGGTGTGGGGGCAGGAGCCAGGGAGTAAGGAAGTGGGGAAATGGAAGCAGGAAGTGTAGACAGCTGGTCGTGAAGGGGAGGAGACGTGGGGCTGTAGCTGGAGAGAGTCACTGGAGAGAGAGCCACTCGAGGGAGTGTTTCTTTTTCAGCTGAGAGAGACTTGAGCTAGTTTAGTTTGGACAGTGTGAGAAGTTGCTCCTACGCGAGAAGATCAGGAAAAGCGGCTCAAAGCCCTGGAGGAGGCGGAGGGAATGGAAGGATTGGTGTGGGTTAGGTGGGTGCTCTGCGCTCCGCCCATCTTCCCCTTCCCTTGGGTTGCTGTGGGTTAAGATGGAGGAATGTGGCAGTGTTGAAGGCCCAGCCGAGGTGGAGGGGGCCGCTGACCTGGTGCCCAAATCTCTTAGACTGTATGCTTTGCATTTCTCTAGTGTAGGGGTCTACCCACAAGAAGGCCCCTACAGAATTGGAGTTCAGAAAGATGAAAGATGGTTTTGAAGAATTGAACAAGAGTGATTGAGGTGCTGGAGAGTGCAGTTCAAGCTGGGTAGGGGGAGAGTTGAGGCCAAAGGGGGTTGTCAGACAGGGAGACCGAGGAGGAGTGAATGGGCTTGAGGCCTGCTGAAGAACACGTGCTAGAGTGACAAAAGTCACCTGGAAGGGTGGGAACTTATGATGAGGGCGTACAAGGTCAGGAAGAGGTTCAGGAGTGTGCAGCTGAAATGGAGTGGGGGCGGGGGGAAGTCTTTGGAGATGAGGTCAAGGGAAGTCCACCCAGGCCGGTGGTAGCGAAAATGCCGCTGCGTACGGCTCGGGGGGCGGTGGTAACCAGACGGAAGTTGAGCATGGGATAAGTGGAGGGGAACATGGTCTCGGGAGCAGGGAGGCTGTCGATCCTGACGTTTGAAGAGTAGAAGATGAATAGCCTGCACTGGAGAGGGCTGTGGGGAAGCTGAGTTCTCAGCCAAGTGCCAGTTGCTGGGGGAGGTGACAGTGGAGGGTTTTGCTGGGGAGGAGGAGGAGCAGGATGGAAGGAGACACAGTAGGAGAGAAATGGAGGATTTTGGGTGGGAGCAAGGGATGAACATCATGGGTGGCTGATTGTGAGGACACAGTTCTGGCATCCCCTGAGCCTCAGGTCAGCCTTGCCCAGGACCCCAGAGCCGGCACCCAGAGGGAGGCAGAGGTGTTCAGTGCTGTTCGTGCTGCCCAGAGCAGGGAGCCGGGCTCCATGGAGAGAATATTACCAGGGGCTCAGGAGGGTGGACTCAGAATTAGCTTTTTTTTTTTCCAGGAAAAAAAAAAAGCCAATGCCTGGGGAACTAGGTCACTTGAGGAGAGAGGCCATTTTGTTCATTTATTTGCCCAGGAAATAAATCTTTAAAGGCAATTTGATCTTTCTTGAGCTCCACTCTTTTCCCATTCCCCTCCTGTTAGTCACTTAGTAACCATCTTGGTTATCAGATTGACCATTGAGGTATCACAGTGCTTGTGTTCAAGTAACCTTTATGTTATTTAATAATGGGCCTGGTGTGGCGGCTCATACCTGTAATCACTCTGGGAGGCTGAGGCAGGAGGATCCCTTGAGACCAAGAGTTCAAGACCAGCCTGGGCAACATAGCGAGACCCTCCTCATCTCTTAAAAAAAAAATTAGCTGGGCACGGTGGTGTGCCTGTAGTCCCAGCTACTTAGGAGACTGAGATGGGAGGATCCCTTGAGCCCAGGAGTTTGAGGCAGCTGTGAGCCATGCATCACTTCATTGCACTCCAGCCTCAGCAACAGTGAAACACTCCTCAAAGACCCTAAAGTGCAACAGTAGCGATATGACAATTCCGATTTGCCAATGAGAAACCATAAAGTTCCTTTATGTGAAAAGGTGAAGATTTTTGACTTAGGGAAAGACAAAATGCTGAGGTTGCTAAGATCTACAGTACATTAAGATATTTTGAGAGAGACCACATTCACACACCATTTATTACAGTGTATTGTTATACTTGTTCTATTATTGTTAATTTCTTACTGTGCTTGATTTATAAATTAAACTATCATAGGTATGTATATATAGGAAAAAACAATATATATAGGGTTCAGTACTACCTACGTTTCAGGCCTCCACTGGGGATCTTGGAATATGTTCCCCATGGATAAGGGGGACTTTTGTATACAGCTTCTCTCTTCCTTCTCCAAACCAATCACTTGAAAGAGAACGTGAATGCCAGGCGCTATGGTTCACGCCTGTAATCCCAGCAGAGGCCAAGGTGGGTGGATCACCTGAGGTCAGGAGTTCTAGACCAGCTTGGCCAACATGGCAAAACCCTGCCCCTATTAAAAATACAAAAATTAGCCAGGCATGGTGGTGCACACCTATATTCCCAGCTACTCAGAAAGCTGAGGCAGGAGAATCGCTTGAAACTGAGAGGCAGAGGTTGCAGTGAGCTGAGATAGCACCATTGCACTCTAGCCTGGACGACAGAATGAAACTGTCTCAAAAGGCCAGGCATGGTGGGTCACGCTTGTAATCCCAGTGCTTTGGGAGGCTGAGGTGGGTAGATCACCAGGCATCAGGAGTTTGAGACCGGCCTGACCAACATGGTGAAACCCTGTCTCTACTAAAAATACAAAAATTAGCGCATGGTGATGCGTGCCTGTAGTCCCAGTTACTTGGGAAGCTGAGGCAGAAGAATCACTTGAACCTGGGAGGTGGGGGTTGCAGTGAGCCAAGATGGCACCACTGCACTGCAGCCTGGGAGACACAGTGAGCCTCTGTCTTTTAAAAAAAAAAAAAAGCTGGTAGGGCCTTTATAGATAAATTAGGGCCTAACACCTCATGAGAAAACAGAGGTATTTGTCTTAGATCACAAAGTGAATGACAAGGCAGGGACTGGAAACCTGGTGCCCTAACACCCAGCACCAGGCCAGGTCTTCTATCCCTAGGTCAGAGCAGTGCCTTCCCGCACAAGGTCTCCAGACCAAACCCAGGACCCAGAAGAGGCCTGGCCAGGTTGATGCACATTGCACAGCTGGAGAGGCCTGGCAGCACTGCTCCCACCCTCAACACCCATTATGGCTTTAAGGACATGCTGGTACCTTTTAATGTACCTTTTAATCATCTGAGTACAGATCCTGTAGAACTTAAGTATAACTGTTTGCTGGAGGGTGACAGGGCAAGAGGAGTGTGGGCTAGGAATTGCCCGGGAAATGTAACTGTACAGCTGTCAGCATGACTACTTCTCAAAAAACATCTCATCCAACACTGACAGCATAATGAGACCCCCATCTCTACAACAAAAATTAGCTGATGTGGTGGTGTGCACCTGTAATCCCAACTACTCAAGAGGCCGAGGTGGGAGGACAGCTTGAACCCAGGAGTTCAAGGCTGCAGTAAGCTGTGATCACACCACTGCATTCCTGCCTGGGTAACAGAGAGGTACCCTGTTTCAAAACAACCTTAAAATGTCACTGAGCCAAATTTGTTATCTATAAAGATTTTTAAAGGCCAAGCACTTTCAGTGGACTCTCCCTCTGTCCAAAAAAATTCTGTCCAGCTGTTTGAAATTCCTTTACTGAGGGACCATAGCTCTTGCTTTGATGAGGTCAGATTAAGTCTTAGAATGCAAATGGCTCTAGGAGAGGTCAACTGAGGAAGAAAACTGGAATGACTTCCTGTCCTTATGAGAACAATGTTTACTGCCTTTTAAAAAGTATTTGTGGCCCAGCGGGGTGGCTCACCTCTGTAATCCCAGCACTTTGGGAGGCCAAGGCAGGCGGATCACCTGAGGTCAGGAGTTAAGACTAGCCTGACCGACATGGAGAAACCCTCTCTCTACTAAAAATACAAAAAATTAGTTGGGCATGGTGGTGCATGCTTGTAATCCCAGCTAAATGGGAGGCTGAGGCAGGAGAATCACTTGAACCTGGGAGATGGAGGTTGCGGTGAGCCAAGGTAGTGCCATTGTACTCCATCCTGGGCAACAAGAGTGAAACTCCATCTCAAAAAAAAGAAAAACTATTTATGTTGTGATGAGATAAACACCATTAACCTAACAGTGGACCCAACGGTGACAGAAGGGGAATTAGCATTGTAACCCCAGCTGAAAGGTGCTTGGAGAAGGCCCATGTCAGACTGGCCACTTTCCTCTTCACAGCAATTGTACAAAGCTCTTTCCTCAGCTTTTGCTTCACTGTTCTCTCTACTTAAAATGCACCCACGCTTCTCACCCCACTCTTCCTACCTCCCCCATCTCTCTGTATTTTAATGCTTGAATGCTGCCCACCACCCACCCCCTGCCAGTTGCCTCTATTTGGTGGCACTGCTGCATCCTCTGAACCTGTCTCTGAAAGTTTGTCCGTTTCCCCTGAGCAGCGCTTACTGGAGTCCATGTCTCTGGACATGTTTCCCATTAGATCATAGATTCCTTGAAAAGTATAAAAACTGTTTATATTTTTCACTGTTTTAAATTTACTGTTTTAAAAATTAGTAGCCATAAAACCAAGTTAAAAAGAATAAGAAATGAACACTTATCATCAAACGTATTTATTATACAAGAAAAATTATCAATACATCTTTCATCTCAGTTCTTTAAAATGGTTATCAGCAATTCTAAGTTGTCTTCATTAATAATTCACTATGACCTCATGCAAATCATGTCATATTTCTCATTCT